GCTGGGCACCCCCAATGCACAGGCGCAGCTCCTCGCCCTGGGTTTATATCTCGGCCCCCGTGGGCGTTGGCCTTTACAAAGTGTCTTCTCCTCGTAAAGTTAATACCACTTTCTATCAGAACCCCTCATTAACCTGCTCTTTAGCTTCCTGTGAACATTTCTCGGCCTCGTAAACAAGGAGCCCCGTTGGACTGGCGGCTACGTGGAGACTCATCACCACCGCCCCGTGCTGCTGGCAAGACCCAGTCTCCGTCAGTTCTTCAAAGGGGCCTGTCATCAGAGCCCAGGCCTCAGCCTCCTCGTTAAGAGGTGTGGGAGTTGGTCTTGACTTTCTCCAGCATTGTCTTCTTTTATGAGCCAACGGAGTCGAGGAGGCCTCTGGGCTGGCTCCTGGGTGTCGGAAGGGCAAGTCTGGTTGTTGCAGGAAAGCCGGGCCTTAAGCCCAAGGAGACACAGAAGGCTCTAGAACAGCTCAGGAAATATGACTATGGTAACCAACTATTGCTGTTGCCCCAGGATTGTTCTGGGTTTAGTGCTGAAAGTCTCCGATCCCTGGGAACCCCTCAGTCCTGGGCAAAAGGGTTCGGTTGGTCACCCTGGACGCAGCAGAGCCTCGATGAACACATCCCCACTCCCTCCCTTGCCAGGAAGTCCCGTTCTGGCTCTGCAGCCTCAGCTCCAGCCAAAATGGCTAGAGCTCGGCTAACTGGGTGCCTGCCCCACGTAAGGAAGGTGTCGTCCAGGCCCTGGTTGAAAATGGAGAAGCCTTCCCTTCTGGTTGCTGGGCCAGGCGGACTGGTCTTGCCTCACAGGCTTCTCCGAAGGCTCAAAGCGCCTGGCCTTCGGAATTCCATCTCTGCAACAGGAGTTGTCTGGACGGATGCCCAGAAAACTGGACAAGGGTGGATTATTTGCCCAGAAAATCCATCTGCCAAGCAAGGGGGACCTGGAAGAGGGCCTGGGAGCTGAGCAAGAGGGCAGGTGTGGCTGGGGCGGGGCCTTGTCAGGGAGGCCGGTGGGACTTGCCTGTTGTTCTGCCCTGCGATCTGGGTCCTAATTACTCTTCTCGGGATCCCATGAGGAGAACGACCGTGGGCTGAGCACCAGCAGCCTTCCCGGCAGGGCACGCGATGCTTTCCTGTGCGGGGTCTCACCGAGTCCTCATGGTGCCCTGTGAGCCGAACTTGTTATCCCCCTCTCAATGCTGAGGAAACCAAGACCCAAGGACAATGAAAGTGTGCTAGGGGCACCCGCTAGTGACAGGCAGAACCAAGCTGCCAACCGGAGTCTGGCCTGGCCTTCTCCGCCGCACCACCAGCCTCCACCGCAGCTCCAAAATCCTGTGGCCGGGCTCTGTGGAGAAAGGAAAGGACAGAATAGGGTGGACTCCACAAGAGGATGGCCAACAGCCGCTGGTGTCCCAGGAGATGCAGCTCAGCATCGTGGTTACCTGTGAACTCTGGGGATTCGAATCCCAGCCCTGCCACGTGCCAGCTGTTTCCTCTCTATTTCCTCCTCTGTTAACCGGGAGGAAGATAGTCCCTGATTCCTAGGGCTGCTCTGAGGATAACATACGTGTGAAGCTTCTAGAACAGCACCTGCTCATGGTTCATGCTCAGTAAGGGCAGCCGCTGATTGCTGATCCCCACACTTGTGGAGTCTTGTTGAAGTCACACCTCAATACCACACAGCTGTCACTAGGGAGTGCGGACAGTCTCTGAGCACACAGGCCACCATCCCACGGGCCAGGTGCATGAGCTTGGGGCCCTCAGATACAGAGCTTCCATGAGTCACCATGCCCTTCCCACCCCTGGGGGCCTGGTGTGACCGGCACCCACCCAGCGCCAGCCCAGGCCGCCATTGGCTGCCTCAGCCTCTCCCTCCCTGGAAATCCATGCCCCGGTGCAAGGACACACCTGAGCTGAGAACCTGGCTGCACCTCCTTGGGTGTTTGTGCTTCCCACCCAGGTGAGTACAGGGCTCCACCCAAGCCCTGCTAAGCTGCAGCCTCCTGGAGACACCCAGGAGCCCAGAGAAGCTACAGCTGTGGAGGCCAGCAAGCCACATGCTGTTTATACAGCCTGAGGGTCACATGGGTTCCCAGGCAGGGCTCCACACCTGTGCTACCTGGAAGGCGTTTCTCTCTCCCACATAGTCCTCGTAATAACAAGCTAGTGGGCTCGGCCATCATTCATTGAGCACTGAGCACCTGCCGGGCTCTGTGCTGAGCTCTCTCCAGGCATTCTCTCATTCACTCCTCACAACAACCCCATGAGATTGGCATCGCCAATATCCCCATTTAATAGATGGATAAACTGAGGCTGGGAATGTTTCAGGAGCCTGCCCCCTGCTCCTGCCCTGCTGTACTCTACCAGCTCCAAACACTCATGGCAGTGACTAGTGGTTGACCTGTTGGCCCTCCATTCGATGATATCCTCAAATTGCCTTGTGTTTCAGCCCTATCTTCTCAGGGAGACTGGACATTCTTGGGGGCAAGGAGTGATCTGGTACTTGTTTTGAAATCTCCATAGTGTCAAGCACAGTGCTGGGCTTCTAGGTGTCTCAATATACATGAATGAATGAATGAATGAATGAATGAACGAATGAATGAATGCTTTGCCCATGGTGAATTGTGCTAAGTAAGGAAGCAAAGAAAGGATTTTGAGAGGAAGGGAGCATAGAAAAGGAGGGAAGGAAGGAAGAAGGAAGGAGAGAAAAAGTGGGTAGAGAACTGAGAGAGAAAGACACAGTACTTCCAAGGTCAGTCTTACCATCCTTACTCTTACAGATGAGAAGACCGAGAGAGACCTAGCGATAAAAGATTGGGCATCTCTGTGGAGGTGAGCAGCCCTGCTCAGACTAACCAGCCCCTTTGGCAGAGAACAGTGTTCTCCAGGCCAAACGCCATTCTGCCCAAAGGGAGACAGGACCGTAAGCCAGTTCACTGCCGTGTCCAAGTCCAGTCCACAGTAGGAAAGTTGAGTTCTGGTGTGCGCACTGCTTAGTGATTTAAACTGGAACTCAGTTGAAGGTGTTTGTGAGAGTGAGAGTAGGAATGGGTTCCTTAACCATCACAGACTCTAAACAACTTAATAAAGAGCTAGACAAGGCTACCTAAATAAAGCGCCCATGGCACCCAGGGCTGTCTGAGTGCATGGCATGAGGCTGTGAATTCCCTCTGCAAACTGTAGAGTGCATGAAAGGAGACACACGGCACGCTGGGAGGAGTTGACAGTGTGATTGTCAGATCACAAGCCTGTGTGGTCTGTCTGCTCTGACACAGTAGCCAGGCAGCTTGAGCTGTAGATGGAACAGAAGGCCCAGTCCAATCCCTGGCTGTTCCCATGTACCAGCAAACAGGGGTGGCATGCTCTGCGTGCCCCCTGCCCACCGCTCATCTCCTGAGCCTCAGGCATGAGCCAGGAAGCGCAGCCCGCAGGCCCCAGAGCAGGAGTTCGAAGCCCCGAGAGCGCAGGGCAGGAGGAGAGTGGGACCGCATGGAAGGACCCTCCTGACTAAGGCCGAGCAAGTCCTCTGAGGCCAAGGCCTGCAGGTTCACTGTCCAGCTCCAAGGGTACTGCTGACCAACAGTGCAGGCCCCACCAGCGACCTGCCGTGTAACCAAGCCAAGACCCTGGGCCCACCTCGGGGCCTAGGGGTTTCCACTCTCCATACTCAGCTCAGGGGCCCTTCATTTAACACTAATGCTCATAGTTACCACTTCCTGAGGGCTGCACACACTGAGCCTCCTGCAGCCCCATTTCACAGATAAACCAGCCAACACTAGAGAGGTCACAGGACATGACTGGGAACCCAGTGCCAAACACAGAGCCACGCTCTGTGCAGATGCTCCAACCTGCCCATGCACCTCTTCCCTAAGATCCGAGAGGTGTTTGCTGCACCCCTGGTTGAGCAGCAAATTCCTGGTGACATCCCATGTCTTTCCCATGGAGGTCTTAGGCTCCAGTAAGAGCTCAGAGGCAGAAAAGAAGAGAAAGAGACAGACACACAGAGAGAGGTGAGAACCTGACCTGTGTGCTGGGAAGAGTACTAGAGTTAGAGTCTGAATAGCTAAGCCATGGCCTGTCCCTCTCACCACTGTGTGGCCTGGGACAAGTCACTGCCCTCTCTGGGCCCGTGTTCTTAACTGAAGAATGAGGCCAGAGACAAAGCAGGCATGAGGGCCTCTGACTTCTCACAGGCCATGCTCCTCAGCTCAGAGGGGAGCGGGTCCTGGCATGGTTAGGCTCGATGTTCAGATGGGCACGGCTCAACCAGCAGAATCCGGGGCACTTTGAGCTCTGCCCCACTGTGAAGTTCGCCCCCCTCCCCCGCCACACACACACACACACACACACACACACACACACACACACACACACACACACACACGTCACTGTCCCCATCACCTTTCACTTCGGCTCTGTAGCCAATGTTGTGGACATGAGTTCACCCCCCACCTTCATACCCCAAGTCACTCCAACTCTGCTCCCAGGGTGGTTGGCCCAGCCTGGCAGCCTGGAATTTGCCTCTCTCTGGTTGGTCCTGGAACCCCCTCTCCTAGACTGTCCCCCTGCCAGGTCTGAGGGTGGGTGAGCAGGGGAAAGGGCGCCAGGCAAGGGAGAAGCTAAAGGGAAGGGAGAGAGAACCCCCAGATCCAGGCAGGACTACTGAGGAGGACTGGCCAGGGAGCCTTTGCCTCTTCTGAGGTCTCCCCAGGTGGGTACCCACAGGCAGGGCCAACAAGCCTGGGGGTTGTGGCCAGCGCCCATCCTGATTGGGTCGGTGCCTGGGCTCGTGGACCAGGGCCCGAGGTATCCCTGTTATTCGATATGTTTAATCACCCCGTCACTTCCTATCACCCAGCACCAGCGAAGACAGACCTGACACCAAATCCCACACCTTCAGTGCAACCCCTGACCAAACACCCCCAGAACTAACCACATCAGAGTAGACAGAGCCGCGTTTGCTATGCCAAGAGAACACACTTTATTGGGTACATTTCCAGGGAAACCTAGTTTTGCATGCATGAAAGCAGTGAAATGGAGAAGCACAATATAAGAAGTATTTCGGTAGAAAAAGCCTGCTGAGCGGGGAGCCCCTGTAGGGAAGGGGGGTTGTTGAGAGCCGGGAGCCACAGGGGTGGCCTCCCTCCTGTGGGCCAGGGCCCGCCCTCTGGGCTGGGCGGCTGGGCACAGCGGGCAGGCCTGCTTGTGCTCCTGGAGGAAGTGACTCTCCCATCTCGGATCTCCTCGGCGATGGTGCGAATCTAGATGCTGCCCTAGGGAGCCGGGGCACAGGACATGCCCGAGACGTAGGGAACTCTACCGGCAGGCTTGCATTCCGTGGCACAAGGGTGGGGAGGGAGCCTGGGGAGATGAAATCATATCAGGTCAGGCATCGGGACTTGGCACCGACGCCATATTAAACAGATTTAGGGGATCAGGTGAAACACGTGGGTGACAACAACAAACGGCCTCAGACAGTGCTGAGCGAGGGCTGCAGGGATGAAGACTAGAGACTCCCAGCCAAAACAGAGCTTGGACTGGCTTGTCCCCCCATGAATGACCCAAGTCGGGGGCCAGAAGGAATCTCTCTCTCTCTCTCTCTCCCCGACGCCCCCACCCTTCATCTGTGCACTAGCCACCCCAGGGCTGATGCTGCCAGCCAGGCCCTGGGGGTGGGTCTAGGTGCACCTTCCCCTCCCCCCCAGGCCTGACCCCCCAGAACCCTGGCCACTCACTTGCAGTCCTCTCCCTCCAACAGGCAGCGGTAGGTGGCGATCTCCGACTCCAGCCGGGCCTTGACGTCCAGGAGGAGCTGGTACTCCTGGTTCTGCCGCTCCAGGTCACAGCGGATCTCGGCCAACTGGGCCTCCACGTTGCTGATCAGGCACTGCATCTGGGCCAGCTGCGAGCTGTAGCGGGCCTCGGTCTCCTCCAGCGTGCATTCCAGGGAGTTCCGCTGCAGCGGCAAAGAGGAGAGCTGCCAACGGGAGGGATCCCACCCAGACACCCACGGCCCTGGGACTCTGCGTGTCACTGTGATCATGCCCCCGGTCGTCTAAGAGCCTGCCTGCTACAGGGGACAGACAGCCACTCAGCAGGGGCCACTCACCATGCTGTGCTGGGCCTGCAGCTCGATCTCCAGGGCGTTGACCGTGCGTCTCAGCTCGATGATCTCCGTCTGGCAGCACTGAAGCTGCTCTGAGCTGGACACCACCTGCTGGTTCAGCTCCTCGGTCTGGGAAACGAGAGGGCCCAGTGCGGTCAGACCAAGGGAAGCCACTGTCAAGGGTAACCCCAGCCCAGGAGCTGGTGATCCTGGGCTGCCCCAGCCCCACCTGTGTGTTGAACCAGGCCTCCACGTCTCTGCGGTTATTCTCCACCAGGGCCTCATACTGGCATCTCATGTCATCCAGGATCTTGTTGAGATCCACTGGGGGGGCGGCGTCCACCTCCACATTCAGTCGGTCCCCGAGTTGGCAATGGAGTGTGTTGACTTCCTGCAGAGAGCCGACAAGATGCCATAAGGTGATGAAAAGGATGCTGGATGCAGGGGGTGGGGTTCAGCTGAGCTGCATTCCAACCTTCCCCTCCCCCTCGGTGGCCAGCTGTGTGACATGAAACAGGATACTGAACCTCTCTGAGCCTCCGTCTCCTCATGGACTTGGAGCGACCTCCTCAGAGGGCTTGGGAGAGTAGGGTGAGATGGTGCAAGTACCAGCAAGTAGGATTGTTAGCAGGCATTACAGCCCAAATGGAGCTTTAGTGTCATGAGCAGGAGTGTGGGATCTGGGTGACCTTAGGCAAGTGACTTAACCTCTTTGTGCCTCAGTGTTCTCATCTGTAGAATGGAGCTTATAATAGTATATCCCTCCTGGGATTGTGGTGAGGATGAAATGAAATGCAAAGTTCCTGGCACACAGCCATGAACAAATGCCAGCTGGAGTTCCTGGGGAGGTGGTTGCCACAATTGTTATACCCGGGACTCCCCGCTGGGCGGGAAACATGGGGAGGTCTCATGGTACCAGCCTCACCTCCTCGTGGTTCTTCTTGAGGCAGAGCAGCTCCTCCTTCAGGGACTCCACCTGGGCCTCCAGGTCGGCCTTGCACAGGGTCAGCTCGTCCAGGATCCTGCGCAGCCCATTCATGTCTGACTCCACCAGCTGCCGCAGGCCCAGCTCCGTCTCGTACCTGCACACACAGAGCCCTGCCAAGTCTGGGGCAGAGGAGCCAGGCACAGGGAGGGCCCCTGCCTGCTGTCTGGCTGCAGTGGCTGAGTTGGGGCCAGCAGCATAGGGTCCTTTCCCCTGCCCCAGCAGGGATCCGGAGCCAAAGCTGCATTTTCCTCGTACAGTCTCATCTGGCCTTGCCCCCACCTCACCGGCTCCCCAGGGCAGGGGAGCAGCACAAAACCTCAGGACCAGGCCCACTCACTTGGTGCGAAAGTCGTCAGCAGCCAGCTTGGCATTGTCAATTTGCAGAAGCAGCCTGGTGTTCTCGGCCTTGGTCAGCAGGATCTGGGGAACAAGGGGCACCCCGTGAGCTGGAGAAGGCCCAGCAGGGTGGGTAGCTCGGCTCCCAGAGGCCAGGCCTCTAAGTGCCACCAGCACCTTCATCATCTCCAGCCCTGAGCCCTGAGCCCTGAGCCCAGGTATGAAGGGAGCGTCAGTCCTAGGAGGGATGTCAGTGGCCGTCAGTCCTGGCATTGGCAGCCCCCAGGGTGGCACAGTGGGAAACACCAGGGGGAGTGGAGAGAGCCAGGTGGAGCTGGAGTCAGGCTCTGCACCCAGCACAGGCAGGCTGTGTGATCTTGGTCAAGGTGCTGACCGGGCACTCCATCTGTTCAACTTCAACTTCCACATCTGTTCAATGGAAGCCCATGTCTCCCAGATGAGGAACCAATAAGCCACAGAGAGGAACATGCCAGGTACAGTGCCTGCGCCCAGTAGGGGCTTGGTACATGGTGTTGCCCTTCCTATCGCTGAGACAGCGAGGGGAGGGGAGGAATGGCTGGCCACAGGTTACAAGCAACGGAGAGATCTGGGCCCCCCAGGAAACCAAGACCCCAAAGAGAAAAGCTGGCCTTGATGGGAGGCTTCCCTTAGAGCTGCAGTCCCACCCGTAGCCCCTTGGTATGAGACAGACCCCCTCCAGGGGTGGGGCTGCTGGGCTGGAGAGAGGCCAGGCCCCTGTTACCTTCTGCTGCAGCTCCTCAATGGTCTTGAAGTAGGACTGGTAGTCGGGGCAGATGTACGGGATCTGACACTCACACCACTCCCGGATGCGGCTCTCCAGCTCCGCGTTCTCCCGCTCCAGCTGCCGCACCTTCTCCAGGTAGTTGGCCAGGCGGTCGTTCAGGAACTGCATGGTCTCCTTCTCGCTGCCATTGAAGGAGCCCTCGCAGAGCCAGACCCCGCTCCCAGCAAAGCCAGAGGGGTAGCACCCAGAGGACAGGCAGGAGCTGGGCAAGCAGCTTCCCAGGCTCGAGAGGCCCAGCCGGCCGGAGGAGGCCGAGCCCGCAGCACCTCTGCAGGAGCCCATGGAGCGGACGGGGGACACCCGAGAGAGCCCGCCCGCTGGGCCACAGAGGACCTTGATGGACCCAGAAGAGATCGGGGAGCAGGTCTGGGTGGCCATGATGCTAGCAGAGGACGGTGGAGCTGAGCAGGAAGCTGGGGTTCTGGGTTCTCCCGGCCTCTCTGGGGCGGTTATATACCCTCTTTGTAGGGTGTTGGCGTGTTACTCTTGGGAAAGCCTAGTCCTAGTCCAGAAAGCTGATCGCATTAGAACGTGACTTTTTGCTACCCATCCAGCATTCCCTGCCTTGTAAAAAATAAAATAAAATTGTTCAATTTGGTTGGCTAAGTCCGGACTCTCGGCTGTTGTCACTTCGGAGCAGAATATGAATTTTATTGCCTCTTCAAAGACTTTGCACCAGATCCCATAAATCGGGAGTGGCCTCACAGATGGCATTTGGTCCCTGCCCTGTCTGCGTGCCTTCCCCTGAGGAGCCCAGTCTGTCCATCTGTCACCATCACCCACGACCCCACGCCTCCTCACCCCGGACCTGGGCCTGGGCCACCGGGATGGTGGAAAAGGAGCAAAGAGAACTAAAATTCATGGAGCATCTATTATGGGCCTGGCTAGAATCACTCCGTTTCCACCTCACCACAGGCCTGGGAAGTGGCTGGTAGTGTCTCCATTTCGCCAATGTGGAAACTGAGGCTCAGAATGGTTAGAAAACAAATAAATAAAAAGCCGCTCAAGGTAAATGGGCTGTGAGGAAAGAGTCGGGATCTGAAACCAAGGCTCTCAGACCCCAATTCCCATGCCCTCATCCCCCACACAACCAAGATCAAGTGCCACCACCCGGAATTTAGGGGCAGGAGACCCAGGTTCAAATCCTGGCTCTGCTGATCATCTGCTGAGCACGTCACCCCCTCTCTGGCCTCCTCAGTGCCTTCATCGTGACAGGAGCGATTGCCAGCCTGGCCTGAATCAAAAGTCAGAAGTAAACGTGTTTTGAAAACCATCGGGTGCCGTGGAGATGTTGGTGAAGCTAAGAGAACTGTCTTTGGTGGTCTTTGATGGCTGTGGCCAGCAAAGGATCATGGGAGTGAGCCTGCAAATGGGGCTGCTTTGGGGGGTAGTTCCCTTTGTGGCCTCCAGTTCTCTAAACCTAGGAGGGTAGACTCAAGGCCCCAAGATGGCCGGCTCTGACCCCCCCACCCCACTCCTCCCACCCCAGTCCCTGAACTGGGTACAGAGATGGTCGATGCAGACTCTCTGGACAGGGAAGGAGTAAGAGGAACAAAGTGCCGCCAGGCAGGTAAGCGAGCCGGGGGGAGAGCCTGGGGATTAGGGAGCAAAGGTAAATGCGGTCCCTGCCTCCCCACGCGGGCTTTCCCACGCAGGCCTGCTGTGCAAGGCTGGCATTTATGGGCACATTTACGTGCTTCTGGGGTAATTTACCAGCCTCTTAAAACGCTTTATAAGCTTCTCTCTGGCATTACTCAGGAGGGCTGGCTGTGGTGCACAGCACCTCGCCCAGTGCAGTGGGCCTCCTGTCGAGGTGCCCCATTTTGCACCTGGGGGGCTCCTTCCGGGACTGAGAGCCGGCAGCCGGCCTTCAGAGCCCCGGCTGCCTCAGCCACGGTTCCTCCCAGCTGCCCATCTTCCCTGCTCTGCCCGCAGGGCCTAGGACGGGGCGTCTCGGGCTTTCTCAACCTCAGCGCTGCTGACATCTGGGACTCCAGAGTTCTCTGTCGTGGGGGCTCCCTGTGCATTGTGAAATGTTAGCAGCATCCCTGGCATCTACGGACATGTCCCTCTCCTAGCTGTGACAACCAAACATGTCACTAGACGTCGCCAATATCCCTTCGGGAGGCAAAACCGCCTTCAGTTGAGACCCACTGGACCATCGGGACAGGGATTGGGCTCTGTCCAGACCTCCTATAAGCACCGCCTTTGTTTTCTAGGATGACTGGTGCAGAGTCCGGTGGGCACTGTGGGGCCTCTCAGGCAAGTCCTCAATACATCCGTGCCTCGATTTACCTCATTTGTGACACAGCAGTTCATCCTGCGGGCAGCCCTTCCCAAGCCCCCAGCATGGCTCTTCTCTGTTGGGGTCTCTGGCTGACGCTGCTGCCCTCATTTCTTGTGAAATCCAGACCTGAAGCTGATTCCAGGTCTCTCTCAGGACAACTGAGTAAGCGGGGGTCTGCCGCCCTAGCCGTCCCCACTCTCAGCCGTGCAGGTGGGCCGTGGCGGGCCAGCAGAGGCACACACCCCTCCTGGAGCAGGTGGCCAGCTGGCCAGAGAAGGTCTCTCAGCCGCCCTCAGGCCCCTGCCTTTCTCCATGTTGCAGGCTTCAAGGCCACCTCTCAGAGGCACGTGCAGAGGGAGCTTCGTGGGAAGAATTCCTCTGTTCCCTGCATCCAGAATCCCAGACCATCGTGGGAAGGTGGAGGCCCGCGTGGAACAGATGCTCTACCTGTATCAGAGGAGAGAGCCCGGACTCACAGAGCCGCTGACCCCCCAGGACCTCACCAGGGACCGCCCACCCTCCCTCTCCTGGTCGGCCAGCCCTGGAGGACACCCGCCTGTCCACTGTTTAGTAAACCAGGGCTGCCCATGCATCGGGTTTTATATCCAAATCCGGTCCTGGGCTCAGCAAGACCTCAGGCCACCTACTCAACCCAGCTGAGCCTCCACTTTCCCAAGAAGTGAATGGAGATCACAAAACCACAGGATTGTGGGAATTTATTGACATGTGTGTGATAAATAGGAACTCATTTCACAGATTTAAGAGATCAAAACTGTTCTTAGAGCCCCTGCCGTCTGAGCCCCAAATACTGTTTCCAGTACACAAACCGCTCCCCCTGGTTTCATGGGACACTGACTTGGAGGCCTGACCCAGCTGTGCCAGGAAACACAGCTGCTCGAAGAGGTGGTGGCTGGGGCTGTGTCCAGGGCTAAAGGGACCCCATCAGCCAGGACTCTCTGTCTGGCCTCTGACCTTTACTCTAGAAGCTCCCAAAAGCCACCACTCCCACCCCCATCTCCACCCCACCCCCACCTTGCAGGCGCAGTGCTGGTTTTAGGGCTACAAAGCTGACAGGCGTGTTCTCTGCCCACATGGCCCCAGCTTCAGGGGCAGGGGAGAGAGGAGATGCTGCCACAGGAACAGAAAACAGGCTGGCTTTCCCCAAGCCCATCGGGGAAGGCCACCAAGTTCAAAGTCAGCCACAGAGCTTGTGGCTGCTTCTTTGGTAAAAAGAAGTCTCCATCCATAAGTGAGTTTACATCCGGAAGCCGGGGCTCTCCATGAGCAAAGAGCCAAGAAGTCAAGCCTGAGTCTCCTTCTGCCCAGCCCTGAGAAGTCCCTTCAGTGCAGATGGCAGCGGGCACAGCCTGGCACGGTGTGCCCCGGAGGAAATGGGTTCTCTGAGCAGGGTCCCCCTTTCCCTGCTGCTCTGGGCTGTGGTCAGAGCGTGCCAGCCACCACCACACCAGAGTGCCCCACAGTCATCGGAGGAAGCAGACCGTGGGCCATGGAGCAGCCACGTCCCTGCCACTGGGCACCAAGGGGACCAAGATCGTTCAGGAAGCCCATGGCTGCTTCTCAATGTCCTGCTGCCTTAGGCTTCATCCTCCTGGTTGTCACCTGCTGCCTGCTCCACCTTTGACGTCCACACACACAGATCCTGCAGTATTTCCCACTGTAACAGGCATCTAAGGAATGCTGGCCCCGTGTCTTAACCCCTTTATTTTTGATTAATTTTTCTTAATGAGAGAGAGAGAGAGAGAGAGAGAGAGAGAGAGAGAGAGAGAGAGAGAGAGAGAGATGTTGACTGGTTGTTCTACTCATTCATGCATCCATTGGTTGATTGTATGTGCCCTGATTCGGGACAGAACCCGTGACCTAGGCATATCGGGAGGATGTGCCAACCAACCAAGCTCTCTGGTCAGGGCTCATGTCTTAACCTCTTTAGACGCTGCCCAGCAGTCACCCAGAAATGGGGAGACCCACACCAATCTCATTTACACACACACACACACACACACACACACACACTGCTTCTTCTTTTTAACCAAGAATGTGTCCAAGTGACAAAGCACCTGCAATTCCGGCCCCTCCCAGGAAAGCAGGGTTACTCTCTATTCTGTGCCAAATAACCACATCGAAAGCTTGGGCCAAAGCTACTGCCAGCTGTCAGGTCTAGTGCAGGCATGCCGTGGCAGGCACACAAAGGTGAAGGGAGCGTTATGGGAGGAGAAAATCTTCAATGAAGCCATTTTAAGCCGCCCATTTAATTTGTCCAGAGAACTGGAGAAAGGTCTCGCTTACTCAGTTTCGACGGCGGAAGACTCGGGGATGTTCACAGACCGGCCAAGGATAGGGTCACCGGATTTCGCAAATGAGCATGCAGGCGATGTTTGGGACATACTTATACTAAAAAGTGCCCACCTGTCATTCCGATGTCACTGGGCGCCTGCACTTTATCTGGCGGTCCTCGGGAAGAAAGCATCGCCGGCTGAGCACCTGGGCCAAACACGACACAGCTACCTCTTCCCTCCACCCCCTGTGGCCTGTCCCGTGACTGGCTGGTCTTGGGGACCGGTGTATCTGACTTCCTTTGGAAAATCATCTTCCTGTTCTCTGTACCCTATTCGGAGTGGCTGCGTTTTTACCCTCACAGGCCCAGCGAGCACGACTCGGACGTGCGGCGCTGTCCTCACTGTCGTCCTGGCCACCTCAGTGACAATCCACCCCATGGCAGCTGCCTGGAGCAGGGTGACTCAAACCTTCCTCGGCAAGACCTGGCAAGTCCATCTCTGCTCCGTTTCTCACTCCCCCAGCCTGTGCCCCAAACCTCTGCCCACCCCTGCTGTCGCCAGGCCTCACCAAGCTCAGGACAGTGCGGACACATGCTAGGTGACCTAGGAGGTCTTTCTCCACTCCCTCTACAGAGCCCAGAGCCTGCTGATGAGTTGGCCAGGGCCCTGAGCAGGGGTTTCTCCCATGGCCCTAGGGTCTGCGGGGCTCACGGGCACCCAGCTGCCCACGTGCTGCTCTGTGCATGGTCCTGAGTCCCCGCTGGGCCTGGGCCTTACCCTGATTAGGCCTCCAAACTGCCCTTTTGCCAGGCCAGAATTGCCCTGGAACTCTCCTCTCCCCCAAAATACAAAGGTAACCCCCTCCCCAGAATATGGTTTTGGCAATTGCCTGGGATTTCAGGGTTCTGCTCCAAACTGCTCTTGCCATGGGGGAGGCCTAGAGAGCCGCCCTGACCCCAGTCTTAAGCCATACCTCCTGGTTTTCTCACGCCAGGCTCTGCCTTCTCACACGCAGGCCAGCTCTTCCTGCGCAGCTCTGCTGGCTGACAGCTCCCAGCTGGAAGTCAGGGCCTCCTGCTCAGGACCTCGCTGTCCCTACTCCCCCCACCCAGCTTTTATGGACAGTCCCTGCACTGCCACAGCTCTCCCTGCTGTGCTTAGAGAACCTGTGGTCTGTGGGAGACCCACAGCCAGGCCCACTGGGGAAAGAAGCTGGGACCGCAGTCTCCGCGTCCCCTTGACGCACGTACCACTTAACTGAACCACAACGCAGGTTCCCCCGTTTGGTGGGGCTCCACCAGCTGCGTTTACAGGGCCTGGTGTGCAGTGGATCTCACGGGGTGTCTGCCAGCCGGACTGTGGGCTCTGGGTTGTAATTAACCACCGTTTATAATGTGGAGTCTACTTTCAACCTGGTCTGAGATCCTGGGATGAAAGAAGCCACGGGGTTATTATGGCTGTCTATAAAAATGGGCCAGAAGAGTGAATGCCAGCTCTCGGCCAACTCCCCAAACCTCCACCCCCAAGAGCAGCACCCACCCAGCCATCACCCACCCACCTGATTCCTCCCAAACTCTGTAGCTCCCCGAAGAGCTGCTCCAAGGGAAGCAATGCGCACAGCCTGCCCACTCCAGGCGCTGAAAGCTCAGGAACATCGCCCACCAGGGGTCAAGTCCCCAGGAGCCCCGGGGATGCACGGACCCCGGCAGGGAGGGCAGGGGCCCCAGCAGGGAGGCGGGCGCAGTGCCATGGGCCACAGCCCTCCTGGGAGGTCCCTTTCCTCTCTTCCCCAGACTCCCCTCGGGTGTGTGTGAGTGCGGACATTCATGTTGTATGT